ACACATACCTTTGTTGTAATAATAATCTGTTTTCTTTTTCTTTTAAAGCTTTCTTTAGTTCTGCTGTTCTTGAAGGCCTATGCAGGTATTTTCTTTTTCCTTTGCATTCATAAGTCCAATGTCCAAATTCTAAGCATTTCTGACATCTTACATGTTGCTTATTTGCTTCCCTGTAGAGCAAAAAAATAGAATGCAAAGGTTAAAAATTCAAACTTGTGACATTATCAGCCCTGAAAAATATCCCAAGCCAAACTCACTGCCATCAAGTGGATTGTGACTCGCAGCGACCTGCCTGGTGGGTTTCTAAGGCTGTGACTCTCACTGGGAGCAGAAAACCTCATCTTTCTCCCACAGAGCAGCTGTGGTTTCTAACTGCTGACTTATGGTTAGCAGCTCGCCACGAAGCCCGTATAGCACCAGAGCTCCTTCTGAAAAGCATACCCAACACAACATGTGAGATGGCATTTGCTTTGAAGGCCTAGTTAGTAAAGTATATCAGGACATTAACTTGGTGGACTCAGGCAGAATTGAGTTTACATCTTGACTCAATTTCATTCCAGAAATGGCAAGCTGGGTAATTCAGACCAATCCTCTAGCTCAGATTCAGAATAGAGGGTCAAAATATTTTTTAAAATCCACTGAGGTAGCAGAGAAATAGCAAGGCATGAAGAACACAGACATTCAAAATACAAGGGTCAGTACAGAGCTTAGTCAACTCTGCCTAGGGACCTTTGCCCATCTACAGAAGCTGGAGAAAGAGGTAAACTTCTGTGTTCAGAATCAGGATTCTGAAGGGTGTTGTTACCTTAGAAATAAACCAAACCTTCCGTGGGCTGCAGCCCAGCTTCTGGTTATCTGAGAACCCTAGAAACACCTTAATCCTTGAGTGTGAGATGCAGCAAAAGAAAAATGAGAAAGAATTGAAAAGGGAGAAATGAAACTGTCATTCCTCACTCATGACACATAATTAAGGGCATAGATAATACAAAAGAATCTTCAGAGAAGATATTTTCAAATCATTAGAATTAGTGAGCTTTAGATCAGGGGTCAATAAGCTTTCTTTATGGTGACTATTTTAGGTTCTGTGGACTAAGGCCAAAATGAAGCTACTATGTAGGTACTTATATAACAAGAGAGCACATATAGATGTATCCAAAATGAAACAAACTTACAAGGCTGAAGATAGGGAGTCCCAGATCAATTTGTAATGAAGATAATTACAAAGTAAATAGTGGGAATAGTGTAGTTACCGAACTTTCTGATGGAGAGGAAGCCAAGGAGATTTCAAGATAGAAGAGACTGTTTTAAACCTGAGAAGAAATTAATAAGATATAGGATAACCTCAAAGGAAATGTATATCCCTGATAAAAATAAAGAAGTCCTGGTGGTGGAGGGGCTACAACTGACTGCAGGTCAGCAGGCAGTTTGATACCACCAGCTGTTTCGAGGGAGAGAGACAGGCTTCCTACTCTTGTAAAGGTCTCAGAAACTTGCGAAGAAAGCTGATGGTGCCCGGCTATCAAAAAGTATAGCATCTGGGGTCTTAAAGGCTTGAAGGTAATCAAGCGGCCATCA